ATATATCTATCATTGCCAAGACATATATCGTCACGTGATTTGAAGTGCGACATTTATCTGATCCCTGTATTGTCCTGTATTCACCATCAAATGTCGTCCAATGATTCTGCCCTGACTCCCCGCTTGATCACGTGAGGCTGATGTGTTTAGGTCTGTAACAGACTGCTCCACTGCATTTGTATGATTCCGCAACTTATTGAAGTAGAAGGAGTCAATCTTTGAGCAGGCCTGATTTAAGCCTGCTTTGATAACAGCACTCTTTTTCTGCATGGCCCATTGACCAACCTCAGGCTGTTCATACTCTAAGAAGCAGTTAGCAAGCACATAACAACTGCTTGGAAAGTCATTCCATACTGATTAATAAGTCAATTAAGTCATCATAATCCTTCTCAGACTCACACTTCAACAGGCTCATCATACGACTCCATAAATCAGACCCATAGTTTTGGGTACCAATTACTTTCAAGATTGTCCGCTGAAAATGCACCCGGCAAAACAAGACTACACATTGGAGCTGCCAGGTAACACCATGGTGATTGGGATCCAGCTCTGAGAGATACTGACCCAGGCCTAATCAGTCAGAGACTACTTTGCAAGTAGTTGCTAGGTGATTGCAGAGTACTGACCTGTGTACTGCTTGCTGTCCATATCAAGGATAATACCATAGATCCCTGCATCATGAAGATGGTTGAAAAGAACTAGTTTGCCAGAGACTTTCTGAATGAGTGCAAAGGCACGCTTGAAAAGAAGATAATAACCTTCTGTAGTGTCCATACTAGTAAAGACTCGTAGCAAGGTAATAACTGGACCAACCAGTTAGCAGTCACTTGCCAGGTAGCTGTTAAGTAGTTGGAAAGTACTTACTTTTGCACTGATCAGTAAGAAATGTAGCAAATAAGACCTCATTAAGGTTTTTTGCTCGGATACGCTTATAAGACATATCAACCTCAAAGGATTTCAGGCTTGACAACAGCTGTATCTGGTCTGGATAGCCACATAGAACCATGGTACCTTGGGTATCATGATGATACTCTTGGATATATTCCTAAGCAGTTAGCAAGTACTAGATAGTTACTTACAAAGCACGTACATTTAGTCCTTGGTCAGTATTCTTTAAGAAAATCAGACCATTGATATCCTGGCCACTAGGATAAGAAAGGAAACGTTGCTTCTGGATCATGGCAGCAATCTTATCCTTATTAGCAAAGCTTGGATGAAGCTCTGCTAGAGTAGAGGCACCATGTTCCCGGCAAAATGCTTCAAGCTGTGGATTTCGGAGGAATTGGGCTAACTGGTTAGCAACTAGTTCCCAAGTACTGGCGAGCTACCTGCCAAGCACTTACATGTTGTCATTGTAGGGTCCCCTATACTAACAACCATATTGGCAATCCCTTTCATGATTGCTTTTGGGGATTTCGATGGTGGAGGAGGTGGATGTTCATGTACACCATGGGAAGTAAATAAGATATATGGGCATTGCCGTACATCAACAGGAACTAGTGCATTAAAGACAACATTGCATGATGTATGCCTCAATCGCCCAGATCCCTGTGGATGGTCTTTGTCTATTAATTGGCTGATAAGTAATTGGCAGGCAGCTGGAAGGTAGTTAGCAAGTACTTACGACAGTACTTCCGTCGTGAAGATAATGGTTCAAAAATACCGCATTCCTCCTCTGGCGGTATGAGATCCTTATTGAAAAGATCTTCTAGAAACTTCAAATCAAGAGTTGTGAAGTTCATAATACTTCCTCGGTGGTGTTTTGTTTGGAAAAGACCAGTATCATTGACACACCCAATATAAGGAGTATAACTCCCATCAACATTCTAATCAGTTAGCAACTGACTTTCAAGCGCTTGATAAGTACTTGCCATCCGCTGATGATACCGAAAAACTGGTTTGCATGTTGGTAGGTTCTCCAGGCATGCATTACCAGTCTGAAAATACCTAATTTTCCCTCGGTAGAAGCTTGAAATGCTTAATAAGTACTTGTCAAGTGGTTCAGGAGCACTTGCTTACCTATAGGCATTCCGTGTAGCTGGTTCAGCTTCAGCAAGCTGGATATCTTGCTGATATTTTCGAATTTGATCCCAAATATTATCGTCTGCAGACGTATGATGATACGATGCAATATATGAATTTAGGTATTCACATGCAAAGATTCCGGAGCATGTCCAGGTCCATTTTTTTACTTGAGAGTTCAAAAATGGACAGTATACAGGCCGCTTCTGGCCCCATTTGAGTTTTTTTGCATATTGAACCTAGGATGAAGTGGTTAGCAAGTACTTGTCAAGTGGTTGGTAATCACTTACATCATGGACTAGTTTTTCCATCTCTTCCTGTGAGCGATTCCCAACTGCTACTACATAAGTGTATCCATATATATGAGATACTGGATACTCAGGGAGATCCTGTATATACTCAATATGAAGCGAAGTAAGGGAGTTGTTGCCTTTGGCCTGGGTAAGGGGAACAGGTAGTATTGTCGGAGCCTATAAGTATTTAGTAACTGCTCGCCAACTACTTCCCAAGTACTTGGAAAATCATCTTACCTCCTCCTGCTGCATAGCTTCACTATCCTCACCTGCTTCTATGACTATTGGAGCAGAAGCAGTTGCTAAGCGGTTATCTTGCTGACTTGGCTCCTCTACTGTAGTAGTTGAACTTGAGATAAGGAGCTCATTAGGATCCGCAAGCTCAGTCGAGTCCATACCAGCAACCAGTTAATTAGCAGTCGGCAAGTAGTTGGTGTTCTCAAATTTCTGCATCATGCGGAGAGGAGAATAGAATGTTAAGTTTCGATTCAATACAATACCTAACGAAATATCTCGCTTGGGCCGTTCCTGCTTAATAAAAGGTCTTGGCGTCACGTGCTCGGGGTGTACCTCGCTTGGGTTGTTCGCGCACCTCGGGTGAGCTATGTCCACAGGTCCATGAGCGTAGTTGTTTCTGTAACATGATTTGTCAAAACTGTCTCCAACATCTTGCTTGTAGTCGTCACTTTTAACCGGTCCTCCTGTGCAAAACGTCGAACACCGCACTTGAATGCCTCAGAAAGCTTTGCAATGAAACGTTCATCAATGGCTCGATTACGTTCATTATGTGAGAGAGCACGAATATCCACCACAACACTCCCGAGGTATGCACTGTCAAGCTGGGTGACCATGCGATCATCATGGATGAGCTTCTGGAGCGGTCCACCATTTTCAGATTGCTCGTTAACCTGAGGAACCTCAGGAGCAGAGTCAACATCCTCAGCACCTTTCCTGGCTTTGCTCGTGCTGGCAGGGGTTTTTGATTGTTTTTTTGGCGGCGCCATGGCGGCGAGCAATTTAACCGTGGGGAGAACAGGTCTCAGCGGTGTTTACTAACTTTTCATAAAACAGCCGATTTCTGAAAAACCTGATTAAAGAAAGGAAGATGGTTTCTTAGCATGGTGAGAATTTTGCGGAGTGATATTTATGCCCACGCCTCTTTTGTCTATTCACTAACCAGAGGAATGAAATAAAAAGCCAGCTTTACAAGTTTTATCTTCTCTTGCTTCACTGAAAGACACTCCGTAGGTTTTATATTCTTTGTGGTGATCTAGAATATAATTGGCGGATTTAAATTATATAATGCCCGGAGGCAATGTACTCTGTGGTTGCGACCGGAGGACACCCATAGAAGAGAAGTAGTTGTAACCGGAATGCTACGTAAAACCTGTGAGACTGACCATCTCGCATTCCTCCTGTATTAGTTCCTTTCTTTTAAAAAAAACTCTAGACATATATCAATATCGCATTGTATAATGATGTCTTTCACCGTGGTGAGATTGCTGTTGCGCGGAGTATACATGTGAATTGCATCAGCGCTATATATGTATATATCTCAAGCTATATACTCTTCAATACAGCATTCAACAGAACAACTTCTTAGGCTTGCAATGCTTCGGAGTTGCTATTATTTTATGGATAGATATAAGTGTCTATATGATTCCAGAGGGATTCCTTCATGATAATTATGTATATTGAGACCGCTGCAACGATATTCTACTTACAACTTCGCATGAGGATGTATGTCGACATGGTAAATGTGCTGTAATTATACATGGCTGTGTAAACTATCAAGTGATCGCGTCTCAAATACAAAAAATACCGAAAACTCGGGGCGGACTGGGGACCCCGCCCCGTTAACTGCCCCAAACTAACCATGGTTGGAATAGTGCGATATCCAATCGACGGATTGGGTATAGCACGGACAGTCTTGGGGTTTTGGGGCAAAACCCGCCCCAACCCGCCGGGGTTTCGGGGTGGGCAGGGCCATGGCACAACCCGCCCCAAAGCCCGCTGGGGCGGGGCATTACTTGCCAAAGCCCACCCCGCCCCGCCCCGAGTGACACTCTAACCATGGTGTCATTGTTGATATGGGGGTTCGGGCGTGCTACGAAGCAGAAATTGATCTGGATGCCTACTATAAGGTTTGTTTTCTCTCCAAATATTACCACTACTTCTATTGACAATTTGCCAGGTTGCTATGAAAACCTTTGTCGATAATGTCTGTCGCCAAGTTATCGAGAGGCACATTCTTGCTAAGCTTTCAAATGTATTCAATCCGATGACGGTCAGTAGCTATTCAGATGAAGATCTACTCTGCTTGGCTGCCGAGTCATCTAAGCTTAGCAAACGTCGGGTTGAGGCAAGTCAACTACAAGAGGCATTAGAAGACAGCCTTCGTGAATTGCGTTGATTTAACTTGTGTTTATTGCTCTGGTGGGGTTTTTTTCCAATCTCGGTTTTCCCCCTCCGTTACGCGAATGCGGGAGCGACTTCGTATCAGTTCTCTAAATTTCCAGTCTGTTTTAAGATCAATGTACTTGTGGAATTTCAATATTATACACATTGATTACCATTCAAGGATTAAGAATCAAAATACATTTTTGCTAAAGCCAGTTTACCCTGCCCTAGCAAGAATAATGAGTTGAATCATTCTATACACTCACGTGTGGGGAACCCAATCCAGAACTGCTTCTTTCGGGCCGGAAAGAAAAAAGAAAAAAAAAATTCTCAGAGCATTTGGTGGCAGAAAATCCCAATCGGGTTACCGCCTTCCCACCTCCGCTCGCCTCGCTATTACGTGGAATTTCAAACATTCCAGCATAACCACACAAGAGGCAATGTGGGCTTCCTCTATGTTGTGCTTCCCAGTCAGCCGTAGCTCCCGTCTTGACATCCTGCTTGATTAGGTCAATTGATCCCTTGCTCCGGATATAATTATTTCCCATTATAATGATGGTCCGAATCTGGATGTTTCTCATCGTTTTAGGGCTCGTCGCGCGCGTCTTCCAGTATATAATTATTGTTCGAATAGATAGTTGCTACATTGGTAACGCCATTTTATGACTGGACCGGTCTTAGAATGTATCAAATATAGCCCTTCCACATCCCCAGTCGGATTCAAATATCCCTTTGCTCATGAATACAACATCCCCCCTGCCTTGAAACCGGCACCGGGAGCGTCATCAAGTTTTTTTCATAGTTTTATAATCCAAAGGATCAATTCCAAATTTATCCGCAGTGGCTAGATCTAATCAGCAGTCTTTCCAATCTAGTGTGGGGGGGGGGCCCGAATCTTTCCGGTCCCACTGGGCCCCACAAAGCTCTTTGTCCTGGACTCCTGAATCCTGATATCCACAGTCTACAGAAGGAACTTTCTCTCCGCGCGCCCCGAGTAGAGTTTCCTTGTCTATCACAGTTGTTACAAAGTACCGTGCCTAGATAGCGGGTCCAGTTCCCAAATGGTGACGGCAAGTGATGGTTCTTGGCATTGCCGTATAATGGTACTTCCGTATTTCTTGGAAAGGAATCCAACACAAACAAGCCAAAACACAAGCAATACTGCTGCTGCATCCCTTTCTTGCCACTTTAGTCCCGATTGGGGAACCATAAGGCATTCCTCTGTTCTTTATGCTGTTAAGAACTATCATGACCAGTGACCAAACTTTAATGAGAGAGAACACACCAGTCAAAGTCAACAGAGTTCTAACAGTTATCTTATAGTAATAAAAAGCGTCTAGCCTGAACCATGGTGTACCATTCGAAATAGAAACAGTCCATTGATTGGCTGAAAGCAGATCGGAGAATATGCCTGAGTCGTTTTCTTTGTTGTGATGTCGTTATCAAGTATAATGACTACTTATAGCTTTTGTTGGCGTGATAATGCTATATAAAGCTATCCCAATCACTTAGTCTACCTGCTTGTCATATATCTCATATCAGTTTTTAAGGAATAAGAAGCCTCATTTTTTCTCTTACTTCGCTATCCCTTTCCTTTCCCAGTTTCGCAATCTTTCAGCTAAACTGAATTGCTATGTCTGAATATAAACGTAACTCCCATATGAACCCATATCCGGGTGTGGGAAAAAACGGGTGAGTTCAGTCCTGGCAAATGCACATCATGCCAACTGACAAGCATTTGTTTATGTTTATGATGGCTAATGCAAGAGTAGTGAGGCTGAGAATGAGTGTCCTTCAATGGCGGGGAAGCATTCAGCGATCGACAGGCTTCTTACAGACATTAAGGACCTCTTGGCCATAGTTGAACTTTCTTCCACTGTCAATAACATGGCATCTACCATTGAAAGCCTACGTGTGAAAGTGGACAGCATGTCTCTGGCGGTCGACAGCCTTAATGCAAAAGCTGATCAGGTTGCCACTACTATTGGCAACCTTTCTGAGAAAATGGATAAAATTGTCACCACGGTGGAAGTTTTGAGACTGGCGCTTCAACGAGAGAGCTACTTCCAAGACGGCCAAGGACCATTCGTTAAATCGCCCATGTGGTAGCCAAACTGGGCTTCAGCATTTATTAGTCAATTATATATTTCATGTAACCTGAATGCGAAATGAATTGTACTTGGACAAGCTACATACCCACAAAACACGGCAAACAGATACCATACGGGAGGAATCAAATTTATACTCTGAATATTACGCATGCTATTCTATATCTCCAGACTCTATTCCATGTTCCATACCGTACAGCCTTACACCGACGTTAGAGTGCATGAAGCTGCTTCCACGGGTAGGATCCATTTTGGTCTTACCGTCTCGGTTATGAGACGGCGGCGATTGAATCAGAAATGAACATAGAGACGCGCGATGCAATAGTCGCAAGCTTCGACAAGGACATGACTGGATCGAAATGGCGGGTGCTGGAGCTATCGGCTAAGATTTCAATCGGTACTTATTATAATATAACTATATAAGGAAAGTTTGGAAGTTTCGTGATGTTGTTGGGCTCTAGGTCTTTGTCGATAAGAGCCTATGGTCAGGAAGACCGATGAGTCTGCCTGAGAAGCAGACAATGATGCAGCCCAACTCTGGTTACTGTTTACTGTACTATATGGTAAGGAACTATGCCATTACTAAAGATGTCCGATCGGACAGCCTTTCATATACAAAAAGCCCAATCATTCCTGCGAATAACATATCGATTACAGGCATGGCCTGTGATTTACATCAGGCGTGCTTTTGATGAGAGCCTGGCATAAAAGAAAAAAAAAAAAAAAGGTAACTGCTAAACAAAAGGCAAAACAGCAGAACAAGGACCTACGCGATGAGTACTTCCATTGCATAATTTGCCATTTAGGCCTTGTTTTGCCTTCCAGGGTCATTCGTCTCCCCTTCGCATGATCCAGTCAGCTAAAAGCGCACAGATTTGGCGATATCTAGCCCGTTTATTTTCAGGGGAGATGATTTTTCAACAGATCTAAATGGAATATGGGTTAGCGTATCACAATGGAGTGCATGGCTACCACTACAGGAGAAAATTCGTTACATACTACTTCTAGATGGCCTCATACATAACCGGTCTTATGTTTTACTCCCGAGCATCCTATCTAGTATGGTAAATTGTATGTTCCATCAAGCACATGCATTGACGCTCAGTCTTCGCCTATGTTCCCTCTCAACATGTTCACGAATTTCCATTGACATCTGATTGAACTGGTCTCGCATTGCCTGTCTGTCGACCATGCTTTGCTCGATGTCCACATTCTTACAAATTAGTCGGTATGTATACGTAACCGCATTGCGCTGGTCGATCCGTCGAATGCGAGCCATTGCTTGACTCTCCTCCAAGTGAAGCCATTCAGGCCCCATCAACACAAGGCGAAATGCTCGTACGCAAGTGTATCCGACTCCAATCAATGAGAATGTACTTACGATTGTGTCGGGGCTCAGTGTCTGCATCTGTCCATCTGGGGTAGTAATGGGTGTGTCTGTGTTAAATGAGTCAATTAGTTGCTGTCTTTGAAGAGTTGTCATTCTTGACGTAAGCACTGCAGTGCGATGTCCCTTTGCCTGCAGCCACTAGTACAGACACTGATTAGTTTCTATTGAGTGTATCTTTGCATAACTTCTGGATGATAGACATACCTTATTTGTAAGTTGCACAGTCACTGGGAGTTATGACAGTATGAGAAGTTTCTCTGGTCTGTTATTGCAGTCAAGGCTGCCTCGCATCTTTTCAAGCAACTGACCAAGCCATTTAATTTTAGGGCTGAATCGGGCGAGTGAGTTCATGTCAATTGTATCATATATGTACGCGCTATTGCCGTTCATTTCATTCTCTGTGAGGCGAAGATTATGTTCACACATCAGCTCACACAAGCCCGGGAACACTGTCAGCTGTTGCACCTGATGGGCACGCTCAAGGAATTGCTGCGGTCGTAGCGCCGGCACATTTCTCTTGCATCCGCCCCTTCTCCAGCTAAGGAGCTGTTTGCGATATAAATCTTTTGCCTCCGCTAGTGCCTGTTTCTCCAATGCCTGAATGCTCTTGATATGCTCTGCATCGAGTGACAGATGAACATCCGAATGTCTGTTCGGGGGTAGTTCCACTATGGGTCGATCAAGCCAAAGACTTTCTGTCACACGACGGATCATGAGCCTCAACATAATAGATCCAAATTTGGATGCAGCGGACTCCAAGAATCTGTCCGCATGAACAGTCCGATTGCTGCTTTTATTCAAAATTGTAGTTACCCGACTGGACAATTCTTTGAACTTTTCAGGCAGAGCAAGTGAGAGCGTTTCATTGTTCTCCCAGTTCTCGACAACACGAGCATTTAACCAGTGAGCCACATCAGCTGGACCCCTTCTCGAAGGGCGTTCCTGAAAGCAGCCATGTGCTAGGTGCGCTTGTCTGGTTGTGGGCAATCTCCTCAAACAGTCGCACTGTTTGGTTCCTGCTTTTATCATTATGGGATTCATCTCGCACAAGAGCCCTCCATGTTGGAGGGGTACCAAGAGTATTGTTGACTCCCTGTCCTTTGACCTGCGTTGCATAGGATCTTGGTGCAGTCACAAGAACAAATTTGGTTGCGTTGTAATGGTTAACATATATATAGTTATATGTAGTAGATGTTGAGAATTTAAGGGAAGCATTAGCCCAACATACATACTTCCGACATTATAGAATCTCATGTGCGGATGTAGGATAATGGCTCATACTTGGCGCTAAAATCCACTCGGCACAGTTCTGGCTATCTGTATATTTACACTGTCACGCCCACAATCCTTCGTTGCTGGTGTTGCTGCCTTGTCTGCAATGAGCAATGACTGGCTTGACTCTTTATCGGTTATCCCTGTGGGCCGGGTCACCACCCTTATCTGAACTGGTCAACCCCATATTACGTCCAAAAAGGAGTTGAGCATCCCGACTCCCAGTATCTCCACCTGCGGGGAGTTCCGGCGTGTTCCCAGCATAGTGACTCAGCGAATCATCGCCCTACCCTAGGTGGGTGTGGGAGGGAGCCTTGCGTCGCAGCCACTACTGTAAAACCCCGTTATAAGCTAATAAGTAGTTTTTGTACTCAGGAACAGCTTGATTTACTCTAATTGACCTGGCTATCAAAACCTACAATTATATCCTAAATGCCCAACTGACCATCCGATACATAATGGGATCCTCCAGCACATCGATATCCCCTAGCCTGCTTGATCCAACGGAATCCCTGAACACAGACCCCTATCTCGCGAAGTTTCTTCTGTGCTTGCTGTTCCTTTTTGCGCTGTGTCTCCATTTCTACCTTTTTCTTTCGGAGCTTTCTCAGTTCCTCTTCTTTGGCCCGTCTTTCAAGTTCCCGTTGGAGCCGCTCTTGTTCATGTTGTTGTTTAGTGCCTTCATCCTTTTTTACCTCATTCTCGTCCTCTTCATTCCCACACTTTGCGTCTCTTTCAAGTTGTTGTTCTTGTTTGAGGAGGTCCCGGTATGCCCCTTCCTGTTTGATCGCTGTTTGCTTGTCCTGGATAAGTTGGTTCCATACTTCATCCGTAACGCAGGCATCTCGATTTTTGATCGCTTGAAATTTTTCTGTTTGACTGGGCTCTTCCAATTCCGATGGACGTTGTGGAAGGTGTGTTTTAGCGTTGGTGTCGGTTTCCGTATTACTGGAGGCAGGATTTAGACTGAGATCTGCCGGTGCAGCCGGTATTTTAACAGCCTTTGAAGGATTGTAGTGAAGTCGATGTTTGCGTTCTTTAATCATGCAGTCCAACTCTGTCAATATACCACCCTCGGTAATGACCACGTTACCAGTGACAAGAGCTCGGACGGCCTTCCCAAATATTGACTTGGCCAATGTATTGATATCCCGTCCGTTTGACCAATTGGGAAGGCCAGTTAATGTCGAGAATCGAGATTGCAAGTCGCGTGAAAAGTCACTTGTAGGCCCCTCAAGGCAACTGATGTCCATTACTGTTCTCTTCTGTAACAACTCATCTCGCCGTGTTTGAAAGACTGTTCTCAGCAGTTTGAGACACGCATCCGGATTAAGTCCATCAAACTCAATGGAGTCAGGGAATCGACTCGTTAACCCGGGATTGATGTCAGTAAGTCGGTTAATGTCAGTATCGTATCCCGCCAGGATGATAATTAGCTTGCCGGCAAATTTGGGTTTCGTGATACAATCCACAATTTCATCCATTGCTTCTTTGGCGAACTTGCCATCTGCCAGACGATATGCTTCGTCAATAAGGAGAACCTTTCCCAACGCCTTCTCAAGTAGCTCCTGAGTCTTTGGGCCTGTGTGCCCGATATATTGTCCAACAAGGTCTGTAGCAGAGCTTTCAATAACTTCGTCTGAGCCCAAGATGCCCATATCGTAGTATACCTTGCCCATCTTCCTTGCGGTCGTCGTTTTGCCAGTTCCTATAATATTATAAGTATCTTGATATTTTACATTGGCAGTGGAAAATACCTGGAGGTCCACGAAACAAAAAATTGAACGGGACTTGCTCTCGAGGATCCAGGTCCAGCACTTTCATCCCCTTGACAGTCTGGCAGTATCCCTCCATTTGTGCGATGATTTTTTCACACCCAACACTGCCCGCGAACAAACCTGCAATGTTCATCTCAGCTCTTTGTCCACGATCATAATCTGGATCAAAGTCTTCAGGCACAAAAATGGATGCAGTGGGTGATGCAATGCCCGCACTCAAACGCTGCTGATGGCTAAGTTTGGCCTTGTTCAAAAGATTATCAATTTCACCAGCATTGCCAAAATGAGGGCGATTTCGAGCTCTCTCTAGACATTCCAATGCGACTTTTCTACCGTCGGTTGTCGTGTCGAAACCTTGCTTCCTCAACTTCAGATCCAGGATGCGGCCGAGTTCATCTCCAGTGAAGTCGTCAAATGTGAATGCAGAGTCCATTGGGAAACGCCGACTCAAACCTGGATTAACATTCTGAAACATCTCCTCCATTTGGTCTTGATATCCAAGCAGAAGAACACAGCGATCCTCTCCAGGCGTACTCTGGACCTCCGCAACGATGGTGTCCACTACTGCGGTTTTGAATTGATTGGTCTGCGTTCCTATCTTATCGCGAGTGCCTCCCCCGAATAGACCGTACGCCTCGTCAATGACCAGGACCTTGCCGACCGTTGATGCCAGGATACCTTTGGTATTCTTTTCAGACTCTCCAATGAATCTGCCAACAAAGTCTGCAGGATTCTTCACAATCACTAAATATACGTTAACTTGATACTTTATTCTGGGGGGTACACATACACTCTCCATTTGACAACATGCCAATATCAACCAGGATCTGCCCATACAGTTTGGCCACGCTGGTCTTCCCTGTGCCTGGGGAGCCCAGAAATATCCGATTCAAACTATAATCGACAGGTGGTTCTTCCTTCAGTTCTCGATGATAGTTGTATTGGAGGCTGCTTAACAGTGACTTGACTGTTCTCTTGACAGAATCCAACCCAATCATCGTTTGCAGTTCTTGCCATGCAGAAGAGCTCTGCAGAGCCTGTGAAGGCTCTGGTCCGACGAGGTCTTCCTTTGTCAACAACAAATCATCCACGACGTTCTGCACCCTCCTCGCGCTTTTGAGTCGGGTTGCTTGTCGATCATAAATTCTGGAGCATATGTTCTCCACAGCGCGTGCATTGGCAAATCCTTCTCGCCCACGTCCACGCCCAACTCTGCGTGATACAATTCGACTATATAGACCGTCTGTCCCAGCTTCGACTTTCATTTTCCCCTTGTAAGTCTTATTTAGCCTGTACTCGAATATTTGACGGAGCTCCTCATCCTCGTAGTCATTGAACTTGAACTCATTTGGAAAGCGACTGCGTAGGCCAGGGTTATGCTGAAGAAGCTTTTCCATATGGGTTCGATAGCCAGCCAAGATGACAGCCATTTTCCCCGTTTGGTTTTCAACCTCTGCAAGAAGGTAGTCAATGGCCTGTTTACCATGAGACTGGCTTTCTGTAAGCTGATAAGCCTCGTCAATGAACAAAACGCCGCCGCCACTGTTGAGAATGTTGTTGATTCTCTTTTGACATCCTGAAACGCCTTCATTGGCGAGCTCTGACCCTGTAGTTTCGACAAAGCAACTTCCTGGCAGGACCCCGACCGAGCCAAGGAAGTTAGCATAGATGCGTGCAACCGTCGTTTTGCCTGATCTCGTCAGTGAAGTCACATGGGTAGTCAGGCTCGTACATACCAGTTCCTGGATTGCCTATTAAGACTGACCCAAACCGTTCATTCTTGAGATTAACTCCCTGTCTGATAGCGGTGTCGACTCGGGCCTTGATTGTGAGAAACTTGGCCTTGACCTCTTCCAGCCCAACCATTTGCATCAACGAATCAATGTCATCGCTCTGTGCACCTTGGAATCTCTTTTGGTAATCCCAGTCATCTTGAGCGGGAGACGTCTGTGGTTGTTGCTTTGTAGGCTCGTTCGTCGGCTTGACTGTTACACTTCGGCTTGCGGTAGGCTGCGATACATTGTTTTTATTGGCATGAATGGGTGATGTTTCAACAGTCGGAGCTGAAGAAGTGATAATACTGTTCACTCGAATCTCAGAGGATGTTGGAGGGGATCTCAAATTGGCAAGATCATAGTGATGCTGTTGCAGCGTTCTTTCTCGCTGTTCATCATCCTGTTTATCCTGCTGCAGACGTCTCTCATGTGCAATTTCGTCTTGCAACTCGTTCAGCCTTTGACTATATTCCTTTTGCTTTCTCTCCCGTTCAGCCTCAAGCTTCATGTCTCTCTTTTTCTTAGCTTCTTTGAGTCGATCTTCCTCGTTACAAGGTCCACATGTACCATCAATCTTGAAGCAGTAACGAGTTTTCCGATGACCACGAGAACAGACCCATTCTGCTATCTCCGAGCATTCCATCTTGGAGTGATCCGACAGTTGATGGCATTTGTAGGGGCAGGTATGAATACCACATCTCAATTTGATACCGCTGTTCTGTGTTAGCGCTATATTTCATAGAAAGGAAATGACTGACCAAGGAAGTGGACATCCACCATCTGGACATTCCGTATCAAAATCTTCTATTTTTTGAAGTATAGCTGTTCTGTTAGGATGCTGTTCACACTTTACTGGTAGACCATCGTATAAGTGTCTCTTCGCCGTGAGGCTTTTAATGAATGGTGCCCAAAGTCCTTTCCCCTTTTTGCTGGTAGTGAAGGTATTCGCATTCCCAACCATGATTAGAATATCTCGAGCGCGAGATAACAGCACATTCAACCTCTGAGGAGCTGCCATAAATCCGATATCGCCTTTTTTGTTGCTTCGAGTCAGGGTCGCAATGACGATTTCACTTTCCTCGCCCTGAAAATTGTCGATAGTTGACAGTCGGATGGGACGTTTGCAATGATTGGCGCTTGACTGTGACAACAATCCAGCCCTAACCAGATCATATGAATCAAGATCATTGAGAACTGGGTCGTTCTCCTTCTCCTCCTGCAGACGGTCTCGAAGAAGTTTCAGTTGTCCGAGGTACGGAGTCAGAACCACGAGTTTGTCTGTTCCATAACCCTGTTGCCCAAGATATCGGACAACCTTCAGGACGAGTTCCACTTCAAAGGTATTGTGTTTACTACCCTTTGACCCCTCGTCGCGACGGTCCGATACCTTTGGAAAGTTGGTTTCAGGGTGTTCGTGGTTGATGAAGATGACCCGATCTTGAAGACCCCGTGGCGCCAGACGGCCGAGTGTTTTTGGGGCATCCTCCAGTTCAGGATACGTCAGATCTCTGACCAAAGAGGAGATCTCAGGACACATTCTATGTTGTTTGGCTAGGGTTGAATGAGGATATCCTACCAGGACGAGGCGCTCAAACAGTGAACGGTTGAGATCATATCCATTTCCCTTCTCCACTGAAAGAGCGTAGTTGTTGATCTTCGGTCGCAGTTGTTGATGGTCACCAATGAGGATAAGGTGTTTCGTCTTTGGTCCTAAAGCAGTGAGAACGTGCGATTCGAGGATCTCACCGGCTTCTTCGAGAAGCACGATGCCAGGGGAGGTAGCTTGAAGATCTTGGTAATACATCGCTGCCGCAGTGGTGGTGCAGCCGATGATACGTTTGTCCTGGAGAATCGACGATGTCCGCTTGTTCCACACTTTATCCAGATTCTCCTGACACTTATCAATACGGCGAGTATATTCCTGGACGTTGGATACCTTTTCTTCCAAGATACTGTGCGTCCACTCACGGATGCGCGCCTGTCGGGTCTCATAATTCATCGCCCATATTGGTTGTGATTCCGTAGTGACTTCAAACGGCGCCAACTTCCCTGTCGACCATATGTCGTAGAGATATGTTGAATCGACGCTCCTTTGATTTTCACCAACCATTGTCATGCCATCTTCCAGTTCTGGGGGAAGGAACGCCTCGTAGAATCTCTCGTCTTCAAACTCCAGGTACTCCAGGACAGTCCGAGGACTCAATTTAAACTGCTGATATTCCGAAAATGCCTGGGAAAGAAGGTTTTCCTTGATACTACGTGCCTCACTTTCGTACTTATTGATCACATCCCATGTCGATCGAGCATGGCGGTACGAACTCCTCTGCTCAGATAGACTGAGAGGCGCTGTGCGCGGTGTATTCTTCGAACCCAGTCTGACAATGGACGAGGAGCTTATACCAATGTCAAGAAGATCTTCCAGGAACTGATCCAATGCATGGTTTGTATAGCACATTACAAGGATCTTTTCATCACTGCGATCGTAGAAGAGTTTCGCCAGGAGAGCCCCAATGAATGATTTCCCCGTTCCTAATAAGTTAGAAATAGAAAAGAAGCATGCGAGGATACGTACCAGGAGGGCCTTGAATGAGGCTGAGTCTTTGCGACAATCCCGAAACGAAAGATTCAAGTTGAGACGGATCAAGATTGATTGGCTTTTGCGTTCCAATGACGTTTTGGATGTTGTAGTTTCCTGCTGTCTGGATACTCTGGATGACAGTGTCAGGAATGAGATTGGAAGGCACTGCGGTGTCGCCCTGCTTGAACTCAACCAACTCTCGAGATAGTGGCACGTCTGTTCTATCCTGAAGGCATCTCAATATTGGTTCATACGCGAAAATTGGAGCGTCAACCAGGAGGAACCGAATATTGTGATAGACCTTGAATGATATCAGGGTTTTTTTCATTGCACCGTCACCCAGAATACGCAATACGATCACCGGGGGACTAGATGCCAGTTTATCTTCATTCCGATCGAGGGTCGCAAAAGCAATGATCTCCTCGTTGCGCATCAAACATCCAAAAGAGTTATGCCTGAGATAATTTCTGTTTTTCTTGAGAAAAACCTTTCGATCTTCCGAGGTTCGACTCGAAAGTGCATCCAGTCCTTGTTCACATGAGATGGCCAGTGAGCAAGAACGAATCCGTTTATTATCGCCACAGAGAATGTTGACAATTGATAGTTTCGCCAGTAAGGTAGCAAAGCGTTGTCCCTTCTTCTTTCCCAGTGCAATCTGGATATCATCACGGAGTTCGGATAACATGTCCTCTCGCATGAGACGGAACTGATTGTCAAGATGAGTGGCGATGCGATTGTCGTGTGGCATGGCTGATATCTCGTCCATCCGACGATAGAATGGCTGTGCCGTTGACATAAACTCATCACTGGTCGGATAAATGGCGATACATCGAAAGTCTGAAAAGTCGTTGTCATGGCGGCCACCGGGCGCAACATCGGGGTCGACGGGGGCGTTGCTAGATCTAACTGTCAGAATATGTTGGATCCGGCACCCTAAAGAGCGGATATTAGAAGATGGTGAGAGGAAGAGTGACCCATCATCGATCACTCTTTGGGCATCATTGCTGATATCAATCTGGGCTAAGGAAGGTAGAGACAGAAGCTCAGCCAGCATCCAGGAAAAGGCATGAATGGACGATTCTGTCAATTCTCTTGCCATAAAAGCAGCCATGAAGGCGTTCCATATTGTTTTTGGCTCAGCAAGAATGAGCAAAAGATCCTGGAGAAACTGGCCGTTGCAGAGCTTTTTCACCACAGGATCGGCCAGATAGTGGATAAAGGGGGCCGTGGTTTCGTTGAGAAAAAACGGAGTGACATTAAATCTCAGTCCAACCTGGAGGGCATCGCAAGCTGTTGGACTGGCAATAATGCGTTCGATACAGGATGTCTTATTAGGCTGCTCGTAGATAGCTTCTAGCAAACGTTTAATCTTGTCAATGTCAGTGATTTGTTTCTTTCCCTGAATGACCAGGTTGAAGAACTTGGAGAGTCGGTCGGTGCGAGTATCCATGATCATGAATATATGAAATGGAGGGGAAGACAGAAGATAATGTTGGGTAGTAGGTTATAAGAGATTTGGCGATATGTCGCAGCATGTGATCAGACAAGGCTGCTCTACCCCTCCATGAGACAATCGCGAAGGGCCAATGATGTGTCTATGTACGTCTTTATCTCTGCAGTGTGCCGCATTCACGATGCCAATTCAACAACAAAGTACACCTTGCGGCCTGAACCAGTACTTTTGCTTCTCTCTCAAGCAAACAAACCTCACCCCCCCGGTAGAGCTTTATTTATTCTTGAATAACCGCATCATCTATGCTTCCAATGCTTCCAACTTTCGAACAAAGCCATGAGTGAGACAACCCATATTTTTGATCCACAGGGGGAAGTCATCATAATTCTGCAACGCCAAGACCATGTATTTGCACCCTGGAATGAATGTGCAGAATGTGAACCAGTTGACCCTCATGCCGAAGTGGGTGGAATCAACATGAGCAACGATGTTGCAACTGATGAAAGCCATGAAGGAGTTGGAAGAAGGAAGAGGAAAGGGGGGGAAAAGAAAATCTGGTCTGGACCTGGTAAGCCTAACTTACCACTGCCGAGCCACCTTCTGAAGAACTACCTGTCGAAGAACCGCCTGTCGAAGAACCGCCTGTCGAAGGATCACCTGCTGAGCAACCTGTTGCATTTGACGAACAACTTGAAGTATGCTCAAATTCTACCCTTGGTAACCGGTCAGAAAATGCTTTTGATAGACACGACAAAGCTACCATGCAGACATTTGGAAACGAGGAACATGTGGAAGAGGATTGCTTTCGCATCCAGGTATCAGCAAAGCACTTGATATTGTCCTCACCTGTGTTCAATAAAACATTTACTGGGTGTTGGAAAGAAGGCTTTCATTTGCTCAGAAAGGGGTCAGTGGAGATCACTACACTTGGATGCAGAAACAGTGTCACCCTAACGATCATTTTCTTTTGTTCTCGAACCATATGCCAAGAATGCACTTAACCTCTTGTCATAATCCCGAGAACTTCTATTTTAGGAGAGCGTATCGTATGATTATTACATGTTTCAGCTATAAAGTCATTCTCGAAATCGCCTTGACAAATATATACTGAGAATTTCACTTATGGATCCACCGCCAAGATCTTAGCGCAGATTATCTATCGAGCGGCGCGTTAAATTGCGTAGTAAAGTGCGTTTTATATATTAGTCTCTGATTTCGCAATATTGCCTATCCGTACGAAAAGATTATAAAATCTCATAGGATCTTGTCGTGAGTATGAGAACTGCAATCCTTCCTTCGTACTATGTTATGTAGCTTCTTTATTGCGGAGATCCTGGGGCTATTCTAGGAGTTCGCTTACGGCCAACTAGTTCATTCTTTGAACTATACATCCTAGGGGCCTTGTATAGTTATATAGCTTAATGCGACAAGCGCTCTTGATGGGTTTGCAGACTAAATTGTTACTTATTTCTTCCCCCCACATGTGTTTGCAATATCTCCTAATTGAAATCACTTTCCCACCTAAGTAGTCTAGGAAGAGCCTCATGCGTCAGGGCATTGCAAGAACACCCATCCTATTGTCCATAATGCAGTGTCGATCTCCGTCAGCACAAGACAGCACATATATCTCGTAAGACACGCTTTCCTTGCCCGCCTTGTCCGTGATATTATTGGCCTAGTCTTCATGGACTTTCTGCCTAGGTATCCCAAGAATGAGTTGCAGTTGTAAAAAGGACTGCATAAAAGATCCAGCAAAAAGTGACATCGCACTCCATGATGCTGACGCAAGAAGATAAAGCGGAACTGCAGCAATAGTCAAGCAGAAACTTAAGATTGCTAACGTCCAAGATTGTATCCAGGCAGCACGATCAGGTCGAAAATTTTTGATTATCGGCCAGAGTGCGGTAAATATCCCAAGGAGTTGAATTGGAGCAGATGCCAAAAGCTGAAGAAAATTCGAATCTGTTGCTCTTCCTGGATTATTCTCTGCATGATCCCAAGCGAAATAAGCGGGAATAGCTGAAAGGGTGCATATAACAGGCACAAGAAAAGCAAGAGCGGATCTTGCCTTTGGCTGTTCAATGCTAGTAATCCGTGGACTATTTGAAGGGCCGTTTGGTATTTTCCTGCTTGCTGGTTACATGGTGTAGCTTAGAAAGGGGGTATAAAGACGTACTCCTGACCAGCATCATTTGGGAAACCTAGTGGCTTGTGCTCAATACCCAAATATTCACGGCCTTCTTCTGTATTCTCGTGCATTTTTTGCAATTGCTCTTTGAGAAACTTAATATGCTTTTGAAGACATCCACTCGCGGCTGCCTTTTCGACATGCATGCATAGGGTTTCTGATATGTCCACTATATCACGCAACTCTTTATAAGCTGAGTCCTGAGCGCAATAATGTGTTTCATCAAAAAATTGAAAGTTCTGCACTTCTTCTTCTTCCCTGGCCGTCTCACAAGCGGCAATCCGCATATGTATCGCATCACGGTACCAATCGCTCTTGATAGGCTTGGAGACTATCCGATCAAGGTCCTCGCTAGAGAGATTCTTCGCGTACTTGGTGACACGTATTTTGAATGGAAGCGACTCAGGGGAACCGTCACGGGTAATTTTGTCCAGATCGTCTTTAATAAACTGCTGAAATGTTTGCAAGTCCTCGTAGGTTCCGTGCGTTCGCAGTGTTTCCAAAATCGAAAAACGTAGCCTAAGCAAAGTAGATGCCGTTCCCTCCAGAATTCTTTCGTCTTCGGATACTTCTAAAGGATACTTTCGACGTCTGTGCAATAGATTCTGAGGTTCGCACATCTTGGGCCTTGTAAAAAGTACCTAGACACGAGATTCTTGAAAAAAGCGATTTGAAAGAACTGAGAAATGAAGGGGCAATGCCGGGCGGGGAAGGAAGAATGCCCCGCTAAACGTGGACAGTTGATTAGCACTAAGGCCTTGGCAGTGGGCCAAGAGAAAAGTTACAGAGTGTATATTGGTCAAGGCGATTTCGAGAATGACTGTACAAGCGGTTTCTTAATGCGACATTCCTCTAACCCACCAAAAATGATTCTCGCGAACGATCATATCCATCGTCAAGATGGCCCCCCGACTTCCACCATCCACTAGGGAGATGACCTACGGTATGATAGTGAGCAACGAGCTCACTGCATCACAAATGGCTAAGGCTGCCGACTGTCACAAACGAACAATCAAAAGGCATCGCTCCAACGTGCGATTGTTTGGCAGTGTGATGGCACCCCCAAATAAAAGTGGACGGCCACGAAGCCTTACTCCACTTATGGTCCAAGTTCTTTGTGATCATTTAGTTGAAAAGCCTCATTTTTATCTTGATGAGATGGCAGTTTTTCTATGGGACGAGTTTGAGGTATTGGTAGCACTGAGGTCATTGGGTACATAGCAACCAAAGAGGGCCCGGGGAGCCCCGGATTCTTATAAGTCTGAGCGGACCCGAGCCCTCAAGTCAAGCGCGCTTTATAGATGTAAATAGGTATCAAAAACTGCCACTTCCTTTTCTTCTTCACTTCCTTCTCTATCTGCACTTCTCCCCGCTGCGCTACCCCAATTCTCAGTGAAAAGGGGCGCCGGTGCCAATAGACACAGGCGGGGAACGCGTGAGGAATACGCGTATTCTTCACTTCTCTATCTGTGCGGATCCCCGCTGCGCTACCCCCAATCCTTAGTGAAAAAGGGGCGCCGGTGTCAACAGACGCGGGCAGGGAACGCGTCAGGAACACGCGTTTTCTTGGCGCGTGTTCTACCTCTGTTCCATACGTTGGCTGGGATGCCGACATGGGCTGCTGCAATCCTAGCTACCAATTGGCCACTGGTAGCGCTGGTAAGTAGCAGTATGCTAATGAAAAACATCCGAATGAGGAACAAGCTGTTAGCAGAGGTCTATATCTAGGTTTTACAATCATGGCACCTAGGCCGGGACCCTGAAAATGCCAAGCTCCGACTAATAGCAGCAGCTTATATCTAGGCTTTTATAACCATGGCACCTAGGCCGAAGCTCTGAAAATGCCTAGCATCGGGAATCATTAGCATAATCCATGCAAGGGATTTAAAATATATGTCATGTGGCTTATGTCTAAGCTAGCACCAATTCGGGGAATGGTTTTGAAAGCTATCCGATTAGGACACCCGGGGTAGCATTATGCTACTGGTTAGTTTCTATACTATGTATGGAGGCAAGACCATGACGGCCCATAGGTAGGCTGGGATGCCGATATGGGCAGCCGGAAGGCTAGCTACTAATCAACCTAGTAGCTAGGTGGGCGGCAGCGGGTTAATGAGAAACATCAGAATGAGGAACAAGCTGTTAGCAGCGGTCTATATCTAGGCTTTAGAATAATGGCGCCTAGGCCGGGACCCTGAAAATGCCAAGCTCCAACTAATAGCAGCAGCTTATATCTAGGCTTTATAATCATGGCGCCTAGGCCGAAGCTCTGGAAGATGCCTAGCATCTGGAATTATTAATACTGGCTTGACAGGACAGACGCGGTGGTCGGTTAATATAGGTGCTATATAAATGTATGTTAGCTTAAGGTGTATCGGCATTAGCAGTAGCTTATATCTAGGTTTTATAATAGTGGCACCTAGGCCGAAGCTCCGAAAATGCAATGTGCCGCAGAAAAACTGGCAGCTCAATCCAACAGCTGCAGTTGCTCGCAAGCACTTGGCAAGCCGGTATTTTCAACTGAAGTCAGGACACGCCGCCATTGGAGTATACCTACATCAGATCAAGGCCCAAGAGGATGCAACCTGCAGAGATTGTGGCTTATCAAGGGAACCATCTTCTTTTTGAATGCTGGAAATGGCGACAGCAACGAAACAAGCTCTACAGGGATCTGGAGCTGGATGGGGTTATGAGACCCACTGCTGCAGAGGAGCACCCGCAGGGACGACTTCTGGGAGAGCCCAGAGCTACCAAGGCGCTGCTACAATTCCTAGCCAGTACCAGTGTAGCTCTACCCCGAGCACACCTACGGCGGACGGCAGAAAGAGCCCAAAAGGACGATGAACGGGGACTGGAAGCATTGGAGGAGGCGATCAGAACAGGAGAAGGGTAGCAGGGAGGGTAGCCTAAGCTGAATCCCAGCTTAGGCCGGTACGAATGAGACACTATGATATCGACGCATTAAAGTTTGAATGGCAGAGCAGAAATGAGACGTTGGAAGCCCAGTTCAAAGCTGTTCAAACAAGAATTTTTCTGGATTCTCTTAACTACTTGTCAGCCATAAAATATGAACATGCTGTGAAAAATATGTTGGAATTTATTCGAAGTGGTGCAAATAATTATCGCATTAACTTTGTTATGAATGTGCTTCCGCTACTATTGGACAATCCTACTTCGAACCCTACTCATCAACATCCGACCGCCAAAGACCAGCGCACGACTCAGACGCCAGACAGACACAAAAAACGTGCCCCGAAATCAAAAGCTCAACCATCGAACACCAAAACTCGAAAGAGTGTGCGCATCCAAGAACGCCTAGAACGCCTTCAGAAGGATTCGGAAAGGCCTACATCACCCCCGCAGAGTCGCCGTCAGAACAGAAAGAGACAAGTTCGCCGGAGATCATGATTACAGAGACCGCCATAACACCGCGCAATGCCTTTTACTCCCCTTGTTATATATATATGCGTGTGTGCATTCAATCGAGCGATGGGGATTATGGTCGCAAAACATCACGTTGGACAAAATCATGAATTCAGGTCCCCCTGGATAAATTGATTATGCGATTTTGCACGAAACCGTTGGTATCAGAAATATACCGTTGATCAAATCTCTCTTCCCATGCTACGATCACCCCCGCGCACCTTTCAACAGAAGCTAGACTGTTGTCTGCCGTATTATAGCGGGTCGCAAATCACAGATCGTGCAATTGCAACAAAGCCCTTCTGTCTACATGTCTACGAAAACTGCGCCCGACTAAGTCCATTTTGGTCCAATTAAGATAAGCTCAAACAGCTTTTCAGTAACTCATTTTGCCCGAGAGCTTGAGAAAACCCCTCAATCCCTCTGCTGATGAGAATGTCAGGCAGAAAATAATGAATATCTGTCAGTGAACCACCAAATTCGTTGAGGTTTCTCGCTATTATATATGGCTTTCTAATCACTAATATTAGTCTTGCTTTATTTGCTTGCTATTGAAGATGCATGTTGGTCTGTACAATATTATTGCTAGTTTTTCATGAAAATCGATTCCCATTATTCCTATGTAGCTACAGGATCTTGAGACAGCATTTAAACATTGATTGGATCCTCCTCAGTCCCCTCAATTTCCTCTTGCTGAAGTTGTTTGAGGTGTTCGATGGCAATATCTCGATACTCGATCAGATCACTGATGGCATGCTGGAGGAGCTGAGGATTGTCGAGAATATCATCAGTAAAAGGCCATGGAAGGACGTGGTTGTTATTGTTGATGTAGGTGTTTGTTATTCCAATGGAGGGAGAACGAGGATTGACGATCTCGACAGAGGCGCTGCGTCCTTTTGCCATGGTCAATTAACATCCCATTCCAATCCTGTCTTATTGTTATCTCTTACCGGCCATGATAGTCGTTGCTAGCGTGCCAGGTAGGTGCAATTTGGATAGTCTTAAAGAGTTGCGATGTGGCTGGAAGGAAGTTGCCTATTCCGAGTCTACAGAGCAAAGGTGACCTCTTCCAATGGGCTTTATCATTCACCAAAATGGTGCCAACCAACGGCATGGACAAGAATACGACAATATCTTCGTTGCATTCACCATGTAAATTTGTCCTAGGTGGAAAATCATATATAAAACAAAGGCCTTATCAGACTTGAGTGCCCCCAACGATGCCCCCAGATTGAGTACTATTTCACACCATATGTTGCTTTCTTTGAGTCTAGTTCATAGCATTCTAGACACGGCTGTGATTCTGAAGCATTAGTTCTTGTGGATTTGGGCAAAATCCTACGCCTTGTTCGCGAGATTCTTTCTGATTCAGCCGAAGATGGCTACATTTCCAGTTTATACAATGCCATTACGAAATCTAAGACTCGGTAAAACAGAATATTTGAGCTATCACCCGTATACACTAGCGGTAGAGCACAAAATATAACTCAAGTGAGCATTGGTTGTCAGTGTATCCTGCTTCATTGGTCCAATTCGCTGGATGCTGTACTGGGCTTCTGTGAGGTCTGTACGGAGTTCAACAGGAAGTGAGCAAAACGAGTGTTGAACATTTAGAAGAGAAAATTTCATTGCAGCCTGGCATATCAAATAGTTGGATAAACAGAAAATAAGGCATATGATGCTACAGGATCACACTCATGAATTACCTGGCACATTTCTATCCTGAGCCCCATCAAGAGATTCGCTGATAAGTTTATCATATTTGTTCAATGTATCCTAGTTACTCTTTTCAAATAGGGGTGTGGGGTATAAACGCCTAATTGAAAGAGACAACCATGAAAATTATAAATCAGTTTTCGACACTGCAGTAGACCTCGCCCAGACCCTCATGAGGGTCCAAAGGTTGGACCCTCCACCCGACCCTCGCGAGGGGCGGGTATAACACTCGCGACCCTCACCCGACCCTCGACCCTCGCCAGACCTCGTGTGGGTGACCCTCAAGGACCCTCGTCGACCCTCATTTTCATAAAAATTCCCACGCTTTACCCGATTTGGATGCATAAAAATGATGATTAATCTTAATACAGACCTGTTATTTACACCGTAACACATTACTCCTGTTCTGCTACTTCG